CGGGCTCAGTAAAAAGGGAAACTAATAGGTTATAATTGATTTTCATTGTCATTCTCCACAAAATCAGAAAACAATTGATTAAAATCGATTAGGGATGGTTTATAATGCAAATATTTTTTGAAACAAAGAACTCATTGTAATCGATTATGATCCCTAAAGATGAAATTTTTCTGAAATAGTTTTTTTCCTCAAACTTTATTGAAAAACAATCCGTTTTACATTGGTTATAATCCATTATTATGCAACAAAGGTCACCGCTTTATTTCATTTCGTTTTTGTTTTTGTTTTGCATGCTTTTCAGTTTCAGTTGATATAACTTCCTACCATTTGAATTTTTTTTTTCAATTCATTTCAAAAGAAAATTTCGAAAAGAAAATTTTCAGTTGGAAAGACCTCAAACTTTTTTTAAAAACGCCTATAAAGGATACTTCATAGTATTGACTTGGTTGAGTCAATGTCTGTCCAGGGTAATCGCGGCCATTTGGACGATGGAATTCGGGCCGGAAATAGTCAATATAAGTGAGGCCGATAATAATTTTAATATTAATAGTAAAATCATAAAAATAATGAATTGAGGCCTTGTGTACCTTCACTGGAATACCTTAGGTACCTTGGGCCACCTTCGGCCACAGTAAAAGGCTCGGGATTGGGGCCTTCCAGCTTATCGAGAATTTAGTTCATTTTAAATGGTCCGGATTGACAATTAGTTTGGTAAATAGTGTTCACGAACAAAGAAGACTTTTTAAAATCACTGGATTTGTGTTTTATTTTTCTGAGTGGATTGAACTATGCATCCATCAAAACTTTTAAAGAGTCGTTTTGTTTTTTAAAACTTAAAACCATTTCATTGCCCCTTCCGATTGTAATGTTTTTTGATCTATATCGAAATGGTGCGCGACCTCCACAAAACCTAATTCAGTATAAGAAACTTAAAAAAATGAAAGTTTTGCAAGTTACCTAGTCTTGAATTTTTTTTTGAAAAAATGGACAATTTTGGGCGACGTAATTGTTTTTGTTATACTCATTCAATCTAGGGGCTAATAATTATACCGGTAATAACTACCCCGATATTAATTCCAATCTGGGGGGGGGGGCTAAAAGGGAGGAGGGTTTTGCGTTTGGAGTGGGGGTGACGTGGACGGTTGATGGTTTGATTAAATTAACCAATCAACGTTGGCTGTTGGGAAATTCAGCTGACAGGTGGGTGCCGGTAAAATTCAACTGCAGGTGGAAGGTGGGTGCAGGTAAGATTCATCTTCAGGTAAAAGGTGGGCTCTGATAGTGATGCATCTGTTGATGTACTTTTCAGATTTGGTTGTATCTTTCAACAAAACTAAATTCTGCTGCTAATGTCACTTCAACTTAAAACCTCAAATTTTAGCGTTCTTTATTTTGTCTTTGATTTCATTTTCTGTGTCCCTATGCGCGTCCCTGCGAGTGTTTGAATATGTGTCCCTATGTGTGCCCCTGTGAGTGTCTGGATATATGTACCGCTGTATGCGCCTGTGAGTGATTGAATATTAGATCCTATGTTTTCCCCAGTGAGTATCTGAATATGTGCCCCTATGTGTGCCCCTGTGAGTGTCTGATATGTGTACCTTTGTGTGCGCTGCGAGTGTCTGATTATGTGTCCCTATGTGTGCCCCTGTGAGTGTCTGAATTTGTGTCCCTATATGTTCCCCTGTGAGTATGTGAATATGTTTCTATGTCTGCCGCTGTAATTTTCTGAATATGTGTTTCTATGTAGGCCCCTGTGAGTGTCTGAAAAAGAAGTGTCCCATTTTGTGCACCTGTGAGTGTCTGAATATGTGTCCCTATGAGTGCACCTTTGAGTGTCTCAGTATGTGCACCTTTGTCTTTGTGGTAATATGTGTCCCCCTGTGAGTTACTAGGGGAATCCGTTTTTTAGAAGGCAGGCATGATGTGTTTAAAAGTTCTTCTTTTTTAAATAGTTTTCTCATGTTCTTTTTTATCAATTTGATTCTTCTGCTTATATCTCAACCACCTGAAGGTGCATCTAACGTGCACCCACTTATCACCTGAACTTGCATCCTACCTACACCCACCTGTCACCTGAAGGTGCATCCAACCTACACCCACTTGTCACATGAAGGTGCATCTCATGTGCCTTCACTTCTCTCATGAATAAGGGGAACTGATGAACAACAAGAAACTGTAATTTTGTACTTATAGCTTAAAATTATAATAAAAATGATTTCTACTGTGATTCTATGCAGAATAAATAAACTATAATCCAATACAATTGATTTTTCCGTTGAGATAATATTTTGATAGAAAAGGCTATAATAATTTATTATAATAAGTTATAAGAGATTATGAAAGGTTTTCGAAAAAATTATAATCGATTACAATTGATTACACTTTAATAAAATATCACTAAAATGGCTATTCTTATATTAGATTATAATTCGTTTAAACATCTGAAACTGGCGCTGATAATTAATTATAATTGTGCTAAATGTACAATTATAACATAATATCATCAATTATTTCCTCATTTTACTGATTGCGGGAAGCCATATTGAATGCCGTTTGGATTCGCAAGCCGCCTTGCTGCTCAAATTCAGTAAACCAAGTTTTAAGAAAGCGCTCACATTTCCAGTAAAAGATTATGTTATATAAAAAGACCAGCGTTTTCTCCAGCTTAGACGAGCGGTATCACGTCGATATAAATTTTTTCCACCTCATTTTGAGAGGAAGAAAACCTATTTTAAAGGCCATATCGTGATTGCTCGTCAAAAATACTTACACACAGCTGCACAAAAGTCTTCTACTGAATCCTCACACTTATTAAATTATCAAAAGTTTTCTCAACCCGCATTCTGCTTGTTGGAGCCGTTTTTTTGTCCGTCTTTCATCACGCTTAAGCAGTGAACCTTAAGAACTTGAGTTCCACTATGAACCATTTTTGCTGGGAAATCATTCGTTTTTTTTTAGCCGGTGGCGCTTCTTGATCTTTTCCATATGTCTGCATACCATCTCACAAGCTTACATCGACACAATCAGGAGTAGGTGGGGAAGAAGAAGATAGTTGGGGTGGGGGGCATTTATCAAAAAAGTTCAAAGTATCAATTAAGAACAAACACGTGTCGGTCCAGAACTCAAGTTCAGAGATCTTGATTGGATGATTAAGGATGGCGTACCGCTTGGTATCATCTGTATGCGCAACTCTTAATGACAAAGAAGCAAATGCTCTCTCTGCATGAATAGATTTAACTAGACCTCTTTTCTTTTTAAAATCGCTCTTGTTTTTGTTCCGACTTTCGATACGAAAGTAACGGAATATTTGTGCTCGGGGTCGGTTTTTTTTCTTCGGACAAATTTCGACTTTTTAACTAGCCATTTTTGACGGAATTTTTTTATATCATTCGAAAGGTATTGTTGTCCTGAGCTCAAATTTGAAAAGATATATTACCGGTTATCATTTTTCGTAAAGTTACCGGGATTTAAAGACTGCCATTTTGAACTTGAGTTTTTTGACAAATTTGGGACAATTAGCGCGCGATATATTTCGCGCTATTAACGCGTAAGCGGAGAGTTAATCCGTCTTAGAAATCGTTCCAAATTGGTTGAAAGAAGCTTATTTGCCTTAATTGATTTGTTACAAGGAGCGAAATCTATCCTTTTATACTTTATATGGCGTGTGGGGGGATGATTTTCATTAAAAAACTCAAATTCTTCTCTTTGTGCCCAAGAATTGCCCCACTCGAACTATTAGTCCGCATATAAACTTGAAAAACAATGCCAGCAAATATACGTACATCAAAGCAAAATTTGATCGAAGACTGTGACGTAGAGGCTAAAGCAACTGCGCTAAAACAAAAAATAGAACGATTCGGTCTGTTGCGCTCGATTTTGTACTAATCCTGAGTTACGATTCGGTCGCTTCGAAATACCGTCGGCCTGCTGTCCGGGGGCTATTCTCATGCGCGAAGGACCGAATGCGCGAAAAAACTTGTGTGCGAAAAACCGAAAATAAAATTAGCCGAAAGTCAATTTTTAAAAATGAGCGGTTGCCATTCAATTAAAAAGAAGAAGATGAAGAAATAGTTCGCTTCTTTTCATTACGAAACCCTTGAAATGTAAAATTTGTCCCAAATTTGCGGCGGTCAATGACAATATTAAAATTTTGCATATTTCTGCTGTTTTAATATTCGGCTAATCTCAATACATACCGAGACCCTGGAAATGTTTACTTTGTTTCCAAATTTAAGATTACTGAAATCTGATTGGCTGATTTATATTTTCACGCATTTGGACCTTCGCGCATGAGGGACTCCACCTGCTCTCCGGTTTTCACGTTTGTAGTATGTTTGAAGATTAAGATTAAGACCATTTTATCCACGGCGGAAAGGACCAACACAAGAGCTGTACAGCTCATCACGGCGAACCGCTGTTGTGCCCCTGTTTAAGAACAACATGCAATTTTTTTGGTTATTTTCTGCGCTGGGTAATGTTGCTTCACCCTCAAGGAACGAGCATGGATCATGGTGGGCCTCGAACATCCGACCTTTCGATAGAGAGGCGGAGACGTAACCACTTCACCACCGCTCCCCGTTTTCCACGTTTTCATGCAGCAGAGAAAAAGTTCGATCATTTGTGTCAAAAGCGCGTAGATGATCACCTCTTTTTGGTCTATTGCGGAAAAAAACTGTGTCTGCAAGTCTGCTTGAACATAATTTTGACTGATGATCAACGGCGATTTTAAGCTCAGATAAACTATCCGCTTTAATAACTGAATTTCTCCTAAACTTTTTTCGGCTTGGCGTTTTCTTATGAAAAATTCCTAAACATTTAATCATTTAATTTGTAGAAACGAATTTTTTTTGTTAAATTGAAGATAGTTTTTTAAATTAGGCTTAAAACTGGAAAAGATTCTCTTTGTTTGCTCAAAAAAACTTGGCGCAGCTTTGTAACAGTTTGGCGCAGGCATATGTTTTTTCATCTTCAGTGTTTATATTCGCAACAGGACATTTTTAAACAAATACTGATAAAACCAAATTGTATGCTTTATTTGACGGATATGAATGACTCTGAAAACTCACAGAAGAACTAAACAAGGAAAAAATCAGACTTTATTGAATTGAGTGTTATACCATCATGATATTTTTTGTTCAAGTTTCTTAATTGTTCTTTAAAGCAGAAATTTGGATTCAGTGATTTATTTTCGCGTGAGTAATTTTTTTCTGAATTTTAGGACTCATAGCAACAAATTACTTTTGATGATGAGTTCTGTTACTTTTGCAATTGGTGAATAATAAACTTGGCAAATAGTAAAATTTACTAAGTTTGGACTGTTCTCATCACCCTAATTAAAATTTTATGAGAATTCGTTATGGGCGACAATTCGCAGCGGAGCGAAGAGGAGCAAGCGTTATTCGCTTCACTTGTTACAAAATGTCGCCTGCTACGAAAATGTCGCTTGTTACAAAATGTCGCCTGCCTGAACTGTCGTACGAATCGTCGCTTGTTGCAAATCGTAGCCGGTTAAGAATCGTCGTCTGTGACCAATTTTTGATCTGTTGAAAAATTTATACATCCATAAAAATTGTGACCAGAAAAGGAATAATTTCAAATCGGGCATCATCAACGTGTTTCTAACCTTTGCTTTGGTGATTTTTGTTACTGCAAAGCGTTTCGAATAATTTTAAACTCATTTTGAGATCTTGTTTCCACTGGTTGTAAAACTCCTACCCCAAAGTTTCGCGATTTCAGGTTTTTATTATTTTTAGAGATTTCCTTGAACATTTGATCAATTTGAAATTTTTATTGTGGTGGTACACGCAAAGGTGGATCTAGGATATTCGAAAACGTTTTCGCCTTCTTCTAGGTTGACCAAATTGATTTTGCAAGTTCTCCAAAATCACTATACAGACCCCATTTTGACTAAATTTTCCGCAACGACATCAAAATATTGAAAGTACCGGTCAAAACTGTCTTTTTAAGGCACTTTTTGGAAAAGTTGACCAAAAACTGCTCAGTCCTTCTAAAACTTTGTATATATAGGCGCCAGTTGACAAAGTTTAGGGTCGGTTGGCCAAAAATGGATCATTCAAAATAATATCAAAAATTGACCATTTGGTTGGCCATGGGCTCGAATCCCAAACTCGTAAAAACGAAAAAACAGAAGCTGTTTCTGAATTTTTTAAGTACTTAATTTTTTTTACTGGACCCATCAAATTTTTTTAGAACCAAACTGTCATACTTAAATCATTGTGGTTATTATTTTAGCCGGACATGAATCTTGGTTATCTACTTTTTGTTCAGCTGATTGTTCAACTGGTCCTTAGTAAGGATAATGGACTGGGACTGACTCCGGCTATGGGGTTCATGAACTGGCAGAGATTCAGGTAATGGAACCAGATCTAAACTAGAATTTATCATTGGTTATTGATATGATATTTTATTTCTATAAATTATTAAATACTAACCAATCATACTCCATCAACTAACAACCCACTTATTTGTAAGTGCTGAAACTACTTGTAGTTTCAGCACCAGAGCAACTTGAATAAAACTTAGAACACAGTTGCATTCTCCAGAAAGACGGAGTCGCATAAACCAAAATACACTAGACCTATTGAGACTAGGAGATATAAGAGTAAGATTAAGATTGGTATTAGAATAAGAAGTTGCACGAATCTATCCGGCCGAAAAAAAGATAGCGTGACGAACAGACGGTGTACCTTATCTGAAATTACTCTATGAGTATAACCAATAGGTCATAACTCATCTGGTGCGACAAGTGAGGCTATTGCTCAAGGCTATTGCCAACCCACAAAAGAATCAATATGTTATAATCTACCACTACATACACACAATGTAGATCACTTTCATCATCCACAAAATTTAAAACTATTCTCTGCTACACACACCGAATGGATTTTAAACAGAGATACAAAACATAAGGAAATTTATCAAAAAGTAGCAAAAAAAGAAATTGTTCAACATAGAAACAATCTCCTACCCTACTACCCAAAAGAATACGCTCTTCGCAAGCTCACACATTTATACTTCTTCACAGGACTTAAAGTTCTCCACGATCACTCTGATAACAATCAAAATCAAAAAACCAATACGAACTATATTCCGAAACCATAAAAATAAAAAAATAAAGAAACTGCCCAACAAAAATTTCAATGCGTAGATAACAAAAAGATATCACAAAAAGAAAGAAAAAATCCGAAAATTAGAAGAAAAAACTCTACCACAAGATCAAAAGCAAAAATCTCAACATAGACAATCTTCACGAACTCGAAATCAGCCACGAAAAGATTACAAAACATTCATTCCACAATCTAAATTATTAAAGAAATTTGAATTTCAGAAAACACTTCCAAATTATTAATCATTTTCACCTCTCAAGAAATCTTTTAAAAGACCTTTTCTCCATTTTCTCAAAATTCATGCTGAAAGCACTTGAACATACTAGTTGAATTTCAGCCAGTCAGAACCTTTCCGAATCATCACCTCATTTTTGACACGACTTCTTTAGCCGAAAAATTGTAACCTTCAAGGGTATCTCCAAGTATAACTCAAAGACCTCGAGGTCAAAAATGAGCCTTCCACTCAAATTTGACAACCAAATAAAACAAAATCTCAATATTACAACCCTCCTCTATCAAGTAGAACAAAGATCAACAATATTGGTGACTTAGACCTCAAAACTCCCTCAAAAAAAAATATTAAATTAGCCTAAAGAACAAAGTAGACATGATTGTTTAGCCTATAGTACGAATAACTCTTGAATGCCCCCGATCATCCAATAAATAAAAAAAAAACTAGGAAGCTCTTTATTAGCCCTCGAAACTTCCCGTCACCAAAATTGCCTATATCCAACCCACTTGCCAAAAAATCAATGAATAATCCAATCATACTCGAATTTAGCCTCAAAAAATAAAAAATAATTCGACAGAACGAATCATTTCTTCAATGCTTCTTTCTCAAACAGTCAACAATCCTCAACAAATTCTTTCAAACATTTTTTTCAACAATTTCAATTTTTCTTCAAACTTTGTATAATCTTTATAGCTGACACCCTAGAAATCTTCATCCTTCTCCTGATAATTTTTTGCACTTTTTTTCATCATTTTTTATTCCTTAGCCAAAGCCTACATTAATTTTGCAAAAATCCTTGATCATCTCCTCGGGTTTTATATTTCAATAACTATCTAAATGTTACGACACCTATTCAAAAAAAAGGTGTTTTTCTTCTTTTTGTAATATTTCTAACATCCCTAATTATGACAAAATGTAAACATACAAAAAAGGCAATAATAATTTTTGCACTAGCAACGATACTTTTAATTCATTTCATCGAAGAATATTACAATCAACATAAAATTTCTTCATATACAAAATATTTTTTTCACAAATCTTCCAAAATTGCTAATCAACAACCCCCACACGAGTCCCCATCAACAACATCTCAAGAGAACTTCCAACAACACCAACAAAAAGTCAAACAAATAATCCACAGTCATCAACACGCATTTATTTTCAAAACAACCCATATTAATTTGAAGAAAGACACGCACGATTGTCAGAACCTCTAGAATCAGTAATTCGCCAAGCACCTTTGAGCGAACCACAATACGAGCCAGTTTATAATATATACCCCCCTCTCCAGCAAGACCTTAACAGAGCAAGACACTTAAGCTAAAATCAGAACACGCCCGAAATAAATAGACAAATCATACATCCAAGACGAAATAGAAAGTTTCAAAACCCAGAGTTCAATTCAACATACATCAGCCACCTATAGCAAATTCTCTTGACCTTTCCAATCCAAAGTACTCCCCCAACCACATCACAACACACTATCTCAAACATACCACCGGATTACTTAGGTTCAACCCCTACATCCGAACAAATTCGTGAAAATCCTTTTAATCTCCCAGCTACTGCACAACATCTCCCATATTGTATGACCCAAGCCTTCACTCAAGGTGAACCAAATTTAGTGAATGATCCCGTAGACATGTCATCTGACCCATCTTTGTCACTACCGGAAACACTTTCACTTCCCTCAACCCCTTCAATAAGTCAAACATCAACAACACCCTTTCCTCCAAATTTTCCTACAAATATCAACGCTAGATATCGAGAATATTCAATCAATAACATACCCTACGACTAGATTGGAATACATTCGTAGCACCCGTCCATTATTTGGTCCAAACCACGATAGTAATAGACTACACAACTGGGCTCTAAAAAGATTGCAATATCGACACGATATTCACAAAGATGTACAAGAAGATAACATACAAATACTTACACAGGATAACTTAACACTCAAAAACGAAATCACAGTAAAACTAAATATTAAAATTCACCATCTTATACCTCTAGCTCCTACAAATATAATAGCTCAATCTTTACCTCCCCCATTTATCACTACAGAAATCATTTATAAATATGATAGATACACAAAAAAGACACTTGGATATATAACATTATACAATCCATATTCAGGACTATCCTACACATGTATCATTTGAGGATACTAATTTTTCCAACACTTTTCCCTTTTATTTGATCAGAATCACAGAATCAAAACAACCCTTCCCCCCGAACAGGACCCCAAAATTTACTAGTCACACAATATTTTTGTGAAGAAAATGAACAAAAAACACTACACAAATATTCAATAAATCAAGTAACTCAATGCGAATCCGAACTACAAGCTATAGAAACAACAAATTTAATAGCTACACTTTACTCAAAAGACCGAGCTACAACATTAACAGGATATAAATTCACGGCAAAATTTTCCGAGGAGAAAAAAGTACACTGTTCTCAAGTCTCAAATGGATATAAAATTAGACTAGATCATGAATCTTTCTATCAAAGTAATATCGAAAGACTTTTACATCTCCGCCCTGGTGATTGTAAAAACGAACTAAGCCGATTAAAACTTACAACAAACAAAGGCACAAACAGAAAATTGGTAAACTTTCAAGTATTCCCAGACTCTGCACATCAGGCTGAACTTGTAAGATACCAAGGCCATATAAAATTAGATGACAAATTTCCATTTTGTTTTGCGCACATGGAAGAATAACTTATGTTCTCCATGATAAAAATTGGATACCACACATCGGAATAAACAATCCCTCAAACTGTAAAGCAGACACGAAAAATAGAAGATACCGAGAAATAATGTCTTTTGATTGGAAAATACAACTTGAAAAAGTGAATTTAACATGAGATTTAAAAGATGACACCATAAATGATCAAGGAATCCAATTCACTTGCAAAAATGACCAAGGATATTGCGATCCCACTACACGAACACAAGTAACTATTGTTTGGATCCTCGAAGACACATTAACCACATTTCAAGTAGCAAAAATACACAGTAGAAAGATAAAATTTCACTAAAATTAATTTACTGAATCCATCCCTTATGAAGAAGTAAACCCAGATAAGATCAGACAATGTAGTTATAAATTTAGAAATTTTCATAATATAGAAAACAAACTGCCATGTTTCCAAATTTACCCAGAAACAGAACTCGCTTGTAAATATAGCACACCACTTAATAAGACACAATATTCAGAAATTCTTGTCAAATACGAAGAAATTTCAACATGAATACAAGTAATTGAATCACATTCAACAACATGCAACACATCACCCTTCAACTAACGGCAAAAATTCATACAACCCAGTACATCTTCTGGTGGAAAAGTTAAACCATAAGACAAGACATTACACGTTAACAAGAACTATCACTCATGAACAACACTTATTTTGGCGCAATTCATTTTGATATTCACCTAGACATGAAATTAGACTACACAATAAGTAGAACTTTTCAAGAAATGTCTTTATCAGAACTTGAAACACTCCATCACTTATGCGATCTTGAAAGAACACAAATTCTACAATCACTCGCACTTGCATTTCTGAAAATTCCTTATGCAGGATATTTAATATCAGGAAACAGATCAAAATTCATTAAGTACAAAGGAAACATACTATGGTATTACACTTGTACCAAAAAAGTATCACCATTATATGTTTTTGAAGATATAAGATGTTACAAAAGAATTCCCATATTCTATAAAAATAAAGTTGATTTTAATGACACACTCTCACGCAGAACTTATTTTTGGAATACAGCCGTCCCATGTGGATCAGAAGATAGCCACAATGTTGTACAATTAAAACCTCGTGAAGATAAATATTACCTTCTGACACCATACCCTACACTTATGCAACCATTAAAAAAAGTTTTCACCAGAAAGTATTAGAGCTATTACCCGAAACCCTAATATCGATTTACAGTCAAAAGGTATATACTCTGAATCTGAAGTTTAACACCACATCCGTACACAACAAT